ATGCAATCAACAATGTATTTTCCCTGATTACCCATGATTTCCTTCCATCTATTAACAAGCTTACTAATTCCATTACTGTAAAATTATTTGGCTTTGATTCGAAGAACTCACAAATGTCAGTTTTAACCTCTTCCTGTGTTACAAAAGCTGATTCTTCCAAATGATTCTGTAAGCTACGAAACAAATGGTAGTCTGAAGGAGCAAGATCGGGAGAATAAGCTGGATGAGGAATTTTCTCCCAACCAAGTTCTTCGGTCTTTTGTGACGTGATTCTTGCTGTGTGGGGTCGCGCATTGCCCTGATGAAACATCACCCCTTTTTGATTCACTTGAGCAGGTCTTTTTTCTTTGGTTCAAACGCTCTAATTGCTGACATTATATGTGAGCATTAATTGTTGCATTAGGTGGTAAGAATTCAAAGTGGATTGTTCCTTGGCGATCCTACGAGATTGAAAGAAGAACCATTTGCCCATGAAGTTCCCTTCTCGGCTGTGGCTGAGGTTCTTCCCCTTTACCAAGCCACTGTCTATGACACTTGACATTTCGATAAAAGATCCATTTTTCGTCGCCAGTCACAAGTCTATCCAAAAAAGGTGAAACAAGTTGGCGAGAATGGAGAGAAGAGCAGATGTCAACTCGGGATTTGAGGTTGTTTTCAGACAATTCATGAGGCACCCATTTTCCAAGTTTAGGAACTTTTCCAAGTTGTTGAAGATGACGATGAACAGTTGTATGGTTTGAACTGAGAACCACTGCCAATTCCTCAATTGATAAAGCAGGATTTTCTTCAAGGGCTGCTTCAAGAAGCTTTTCATCAAACTCAACTGGACGTCCGGTTCGATCTTCATCTTCAAGGGTGAAATCTCCACCTCTTAATTTTGCAAACCATCTTCTGCAATTTCATTCATTCACACATTCCTCTCCATAAACTGACTGAATGTTTCTAGCCGCTTCGGCTGCTGAGTTTCCTTTCTTGAACTCATAAAGCATTATGTGCCTCAAATGATTCTTGGGTACTTCCATGTTAGCAGGGTTTTAATCAAACAAAATCTAATTTTATTGTTCTCTGAAATAAAATTTGATCAGTTTAAATGCATCTAAACAAAAATATTGTTCAGCTCCATTAGACATTATAAAATACTCTTTAAATTTCGTTCATTTTAACAAAAAGTTAAAATTCGGACAGAACTTATGGGATGACCTGGTATTATGTTTATCATCCGAAAAGAAAAAAAATTATTAGATCACATTGAAAATTATATAAAAAACTAAATAAAAGCACCTTGTCTGTTGTATTCAATGAAATGTATATATATATATATATATATATATATATATATATATATATATATATATATATATATATATATAACATTGTGCAAATTAATTGAAAGAAAACGAATAATTTCGTTATTATTTACCTTTTTGTATTTTTCCAGAGAATGTTTCCGGGCCAGTCTATAGTACTTCGATTGGTAAGGGTTGCCATTGTGTGCGTGCAGGGTTACAAATTTTCGTACGCCTCCTTGCCGTAGGGCAATTAATCGACAGACAAGACAATAGTGTATGGACGCGATAAAAATTTGATGCAATCACGGATGATGAAATATTTTTCAAGGCCAAACAAATTTCATCATACACCTCGAAAATAGATTCATATTACTGCACACCACTGCAAATGACCTAATCTGTGGAAAAAATAGAAATCGATTTCACCCTGTCACTCCAGTGGGTCTAAAACTGACCGTATAGTGAAAGAAAGCAGACTATAGCAGTTGTTTCAATTAATTTGCACAAGGCTGCATATATATATATATATATATATATATATATATATATATATATATATATATATATATATATATATATAAAACATTAGGCAGCATATGATTACATACAAAGAAATAATCACACATAGAATTAATCAGAAGTATTAATGCGATTATTGGCGACTATGGATGAACAGGATTTTAATGCATATATTATGTTTTCTAGCGATGGATGTCGCCAATAATCGCATTAATACCTCTGATTAATTCTATGTGTGATTATTTCTTTGTATATATATATATATATATATATATATATATATATATATATATATAAAGTAGTAATGTTTTATTCTGTTCCAAGTTAGCTTTCAATTCCTTGAGTTATGAAACGGACATTGCGTCTTCATATTTATCTTAAGATAGATGGTTCGTCATAATGTCTTTTTCAGGTTGCACTTCGTTGGGCGTGGCAGTGGAGTTGTTGCAAATTAAACAATGCACCTTTTCATTCACCGTTTTGCAAAAATACTGTAAATCACACTTTTCTTGAAGCACTTGCCTTTCTTCGCCCCCTTTTCTTTTTCTCCTTAGCAGGAGGAGCACGAGTCATTTTCAGGGTTGAAGTAGTAGGGAAAAAAAAAATTAATTTTCAAAATTAATGATGCGGAATCTGAGAAATTACTGGTACATTTAAACTACAGGTAACAGTAAAAAGAGATAAAGTAATTTTGTTAACGCCTCTAAAACTTTTTTTGGCTGATATTTCACTTTTAAAAGCAAAAACTTTTCAAATTTTGAAAGAGTTTTTGTTTACAATTTTTAATGAGCTGGCATATTGTTTTCGTGGTGTTATGGCCAGTGGCATGGCTACTCGAGAGAATTTGTCTCACGCTATTTCCTAAGCCACGAAGAATATCGAATATTTGATACAATTTTTAAAATAGTAGCTTAGTATCGTACTAACTTAAAGTTTGTCGATTATTTAAAATAAATTTCTGAAGTAAACGTTATTCTTATTTGTAATTCTATTAAAATACTATTTTCTTAAATACTGTATTTTATAAATTATAAAATCTTGCAATTTTGTCCGTTAAATAACCCAATTAATATTCTTTGTGCGGGCCACAGGTGTGCTTATTTAACACGGTAAACCACTTCTCAGTTTCATCCGCCATATTTTTGTTCTTAACTTATCGTGAAATCAGAATGCTACAATCACTTGTCTGTGTTCCTTTTGCGTGTTAAAACCGTTCTTACTTTGTGAACTTGTTTTGCTTAGTTTTGTCTTGCATATATATTGTTTGGTTAGTATTATTTTGATCTGTTCTGTTCTTTCTTTATTGTTTATTGGAAACCTTGTCAATTCTGTTTCTTGGGCATTTGAGGGCATTTCTACCAATTACAATTAACCATAGCAAATTACTCGTCGAAAACTCTTAAACTAACTCAGAAACGTACAAGGATCAATAAAATGAGCAATGTTCACATGAAAAAACAGATTGAAAGAGGTCAACATGGATCAGAGAAGAAATCAAAAGAAAAAAAGTATGTGGACAAAACATATAGCAAGAAAAACCATAACATAATAATAAAAGGTTCCTTGATTGGTGGCCGACGGGAAAAGACAAGATGGATTAAATGGCGAGGCTTGCTCGTAAAACATCGGAAAGAATATCATAGTCCCGGTCATTAATTAATTGATTTGTTTTTTACGGTTTATCAACCTTTTGTAAATTATTTAAAGCCAGAAAATATTTTTAGATTGAATATTTAGGCACGGTGGATATTGGCTCGGATTGAGGAATCGGAAAGCTGAGTTCGAATTCCAGTCGAATCCATTAAATTCACTTACGAAAGGTATACATTCTTTTCTTCTTCTCCCCCAGCTATGGGTAAATACCAGCGGGTTCTATAGCCTTCGATGGCAGTTAGTCTACTGCAGAAAGAAATGGCAACCTACTGCGGGAAAAAGATACATGATCGCCTAAGCGTGTATCACATAACTGTCTGAAGAATTTCTTTGGAGATAATAATGATTAACTGGTACACGTCCTAACAATTAACCTTATAGCTAGTGGAGAAGAGGTGGATTCATATCTTTCCCAAGGTGAATATAACTAACCGAGCTGGAATTAGAACTCGGCTCTCCTATTTCCAATTCCGAGACGTCATCACCCACATATCCAAGATTACAGCACATGCTATTTCCATGCGTTTACCCAGCGCGTTGCCTAACTTCAGTGATCGTACGAGAACCCGTATTTCAACGCGATAGGGCCGTAAGCCGAAGGATATGAGCAAGTCCGCCATATACTGGTGCGATGGATAAATTGTCGTCTAAATTATGCCAAAATGAAAATAAAACTGACATCTCATTTTAATAGATATATTTATTTTGTGATGTCAGCGAACACTCGTTTGACACTTTTGTAATGTCAATGAATACTCGTTGTCACTTCTTTAATGCTCGTTGTAGTCAAGACTTTGTAATCGCAGATACAACAATAGTAACGCCGTTGAACAATACTGGTGTCAGACGCCTTCGAATAGCACTCGCACTAATAGTCAGTTCAGTGCCATGCGTGATACACACGTAGGCGATCATGTATCTTTCGATACATGACTGACGAGGTAGATTTTTTCCCCGGTAGACTAGTTGCCATTCTTTCTGCGGTAGACCAGTTGTCATCCAAGGATACAGAACCCGGTTTGTCCTGTTATTTACCCATAGCTGGAGGGAGAAGAAGAGGATTCATACCTTTCCCAAGGGTATTAGTGCGTAAGTGAATGTAACTCTCCGATTCCTCAATCAGAGCCGCTATCCACCACTATCACACACACACATGAAAAAAATATAGTTTTTAGATTTGCTATATTTATGGGATAAAGTGCTCAATATCAGAGATAGAGCGTATATATATATATATATATATATATATATATATATATATACACGTACATACATGTATATATATATATATATATATGTATATATATATATATATATATATATATATATATATATATATATATATGTCATTCCCCTGTGCGACTAGAAATCCGAATGCCTCAATCTAGGATTGAAACCCAACGGATTTGGTGTTAGACTTTCCATCACTGAGCTATCTTCATTTGACAGAATGAGCTAGCTAAATCTAGCGTATTATTTTTTGTTTTTACAAATGCCAATCAGCCATTCATTTTACTGAAGAGCTTTATATTAGCGCAGGTATCTATCTATCTATCTATCTATCTATCTATCTATCTATCTATCTATCTATTGCTAACCTCGAGATGCCCCAGTCATTTTCCAAGCGAGCTTGGGAGAGAAGATTCATATCTTTTCCAGGGGTATTATCACATAATAGAGAAATAGTATAGTGAATAGAGTAGGGAATAGCTGTCCGTATAGTAATAGAGGATAAAATAGAAATGACGATCCGAATAGTAATAGACGATAGACTAGGAATAGTGATCCATTAGACGTCACGCGACATTTTACTTATGCGTTTCCTCTATAGTCACCTGGTCTACTTAATTCAATAATGTTTGTTCTCTGGCGATCTATGTTCAAACTCAGCGGCAGCGACACTTTATTCCTATGTAAAAATTTACTAAAATTACACAAAAACATCGAATTACTAAAGAGTAAATTTTTTCGATAAAATCGCCAGTGGCTTCAACTCAGGCAATCTCCTGCATCTCTTCTGGGCAATCTTGTTTAAGTTGATGAATGCTGTCATAATCCTTGCCTTCAGTTCATCTTTGCCGTTAGAAGGATTTTTGTTGTTCTTTCGCTCAACTGCTCCCCACATAATAATCAAGGGGGTGGAGTCTGAGGAGATAGGTGCCCAGATGTAAAGGGTGATGTGGTCGCAGAAATTTTCTAACAACCATAACTGGGTTCTCCTCCTTGTGTGGCATGGTGCAGAGTCCTGTTGCCAGTATTAGGGTCTTCCAGAAGCCACCAGTTTGACACAGGACAGCGCTATCTCCTGAAGGTACTTGATGTAGGCCGCCGTGTTGAGTCTGAGGCCCTGTGGCAAGATGAATGGTGGCAATATCAGGGATAGAACGTATGTAAATTAAAAAGTGGACATTGTCAACACCCGACAGTCTGTTTCATGCTAAACACGATCTTCAGGCCATGTGCGTTGTGTTGACTTCAATGTCCACTTTTACACACACACACACACGCGCGCACACACACACACATTGTTGTGTCTGTGTGTGCGTATGTGCGGATCAATGGGTGAAATCATTCGTCATTCGCTTAAATTTCCATTGTAGAATGTTCAATCCGTCGATTAATTAAGTGCCTTCACAAATAAGGCTATTATGTTCAAAAATCGAGTAAAATAAATATCTTTTCATCATTAGGCTTCAGATTTATGAATATACATAAGTATATAAGCACCTACACACACAGACAAACACACAAGCATATATATGTAGATATATATCATTACACAATAGACAAGTCTAGTGTATTTCTTAATGTAGATGTGTGTAAGTGCATGTGATATGGAGTGTGCGTGTGTATGTGTGTGTGTGTATGCGTGTTTAATTTATCACTGGGTTTTTACAGGTGTCCTTGCACAGTGCATGACTTGAAATTTGAGCCTCGAAAAATTAAAAGAATCGGGGAAAAGGTGGAACGTAAACAGATTGAGTAGTATTAATAGATTGGTGGAAAATCTCCCTCGGACGTTTCCCCCTTGATAAAGAATTCCTATTTATCAAAGTCAAGTCGAAAAATCAGCAAATAGAAACAGAGAATAGTAAGGAAATTGACAGACAAAGATACTTATATATTTGAAGAAAATGATGTTTTTATTTATTTTTTTTTAAACTTGTTGTCTAGCGTCTGAGGTCATGCGACACGGACTGAGATGGCTTAAAGGCTTGTAAAAAAAAAAATAAATAAAACGGCTCAGATACAATCTGCGGTTTGACAGAAAGGTTTCAGGCGTTTTTGTTATCGTATTGTATACTTTTTTAAAAAAAAATTTTCATTGTTTACAAACACACAGAAAAATAAAATAGAAAAGAGCGAGAAAGACTCATTAAAATAAAACTGTTCACAATAGAAGGAAGTAAATTTAATAAGGGAAATCTATGTCTTTATAATAGCTGGTGTTTTTCCCCCTCTAATAGATATAAACCATAGCTTTAGATCCTGCAGGGAAAGTCCGGAGAGTGTAGCTCCTTACCCACCAGTAAAAAAAAAAAATCACTCATACACCGTTTAATGAAAGGGACTATATAGGGTGCAGCAGAAATACCTCCCACATTTTAAACTGCCACCTATGTGATGCCAGTGAACTTGTTGTGGACCGGTGTACGCGTTGTGAGATAAACACGTGTGTCTCCTAAAATGCCCACAATAAACATGGTTGACTCGAGATATGAGTCCACCTAAAGAAACGTAAAGAAACAAGACCCAATATATATATATATATATGATAATGTATTAACAACGTTATAAAGACAGTAATATGTGTGTAACAAATGAATGTGGAAACATTTACGGTCCAAAATATGTGTATTGAGTGAATGTGTGTGTATGTATTGTTCATGCGTTTCGCAAAAAGAGAACGCGTTCCTCCGCGAGAAATTTAGATGTTGTATAAGCAGAAAAGTAAGAAGAGAATGATAAGATTTTATTGTAGAATATTTAAAGTGCTGCAGCGCGTCCCCAAGTAGCGGTTTCAAAAATTAGGAAGAGTTAACCTGATAGTACATGAGCAAGAAAGGTATACATTTTAATTAGTATCTTTTAAAGCAAGGGAGCTAATTCACTAAGAGTCATATTGATGGATGCGACAAGCTTAGGCAAGTGTCAATGCTGTCTTCATCTAGCTAATGTCTAACCATTTTTTCAGATGCCATCAGTTAACATCATGCCTTGAACTGGTGCATACCGTGTGTTTGCTGATGAAACTATTTTTGAAAGACTGGTGAATCTCTAATTGCAACACAGAGATCTTTTCGTACTCATTTCATGTTACGCTGAAATGATGGTGTTCTGGATAGAAAACTCAATACTCCTATGGGTTGAAAAATTTCAGGGCCATAGGTTCAGCGCTTGAAACAAAACCAGCTGAAGACATCGAAGCTCTCAAACTTGTGGGTGACGGAAAAATTTAGAAATCGTCTACAAGAGTGTAATGCAAATAGAGACCACAGTTTGAAGGATATCATTTTTAAAGTAAAAATGAGTAATAACTGTAGACATTTGTTTAAACAACAGTGAAATAAGATTTTTTTACGAGAAGTTACCTTGGTCTTTTTGTCAACCTTTAAAATGTGGGAGGAATTTCTGTCGCACCCTGTATAAAAGAATATCTACTATGGTGACATGGTAGACTCGTCTTTTTCCTACCTATCACCCCTAGTAACAGAACAGTCTATATCTTACGCCTACGTACGGAAAACTTCAACCAATAAAAACCGTACTAGGCGAATCAACCAATCTCATTGGTTAATGACACAATAATCTGAAAGTTCACGTGCAAAAACGAAATTGCGCCAAAACTCCGTGAGCCAAATTCGGACTTTCAGAACTTATAAAAGAAAACGTCGACTGACCCAAGCAGTCAGAGACGAACACCCACAGAGAAATTGCCAACATACTCCACGTCACTCGAAATCACGATTTTACCGCCCAAAGGTACATCAGCGCTGACTCACTTGCAATTTAAACTCAACCAACTCTGTGGACATCGAATCACAAACCTTGCTTATCCAAAATGAATTATATTCACTGCCTATTAAGTGAAAATCAACGTGCGAACGATTTAAAAATAATACAGTCAAAGGTAGATCACTCCGTAAGTACTGCCAAAAAGACACTTAATATTGACAATTTTAATATCAACACAAATCTAAAAAGACTGTAAATGAACAAACGAATACTAAGAGAGACATACTGAAACATAAAATATCACACACACTTTGTCATAATGACATATACCAAATATCCTACTTGTATATTGTTTTGAATTGTATATAAATATTTTATTGGCTTCAAAATTGAATATGTCTTGTTCTTAATCGTATTTGAAATTCGTTTATTTATTTGTTTGTGGATGCAGAAAGTCATGCAACCTACACAAATTCCTTCTGATTCTCTCAATTACAATTAATAAATTCTGCACATCCCCATAACATATTGTTTTCAGTTTGTTCAACATATCAATTTGGCATGACATTTAAATGAAAACTGCAATGCTTTCAATCATATATATATATATATATATATATATATATATATATATATATAGTCATCCAAAGACAGACTGTTTCGCTGTATCACAGCTCATCAGTGTGGTTAGAGGTCCTGTTGCCTCTGGCTAGGATTGAAACCTGACTGAATTGGCGTCAGTCAGGGATTCTACCACTAAGCCGTTGGTGCACGGCAGGGATGAAGGTGAATTCAAGCATATTTTTTTTTAGATAAACACACAGTGACTGAGAGAACTCGATTCGATTTACCGAAGAGTCTTGCATTATTAGCCATAATAGTCACTTTTTACAAACCCACACTTCCTTCCCAGATATCAGAGATATAGCGTATGTAAATATAAATATCAAAGTGAACATTGAAGTCGACTTCGAGAAAAAATCCAATACACGCGGCCTGACGAATGCGTCTAGCATGAAACAGCCTGTCGCCTCTGAATGTTGACTTCAATGTTCACTTATATATATATATATATATATATATATATATATATATATATATATAACTTGTAGGTACTGCTGCTTGTTTCTTTTTGTAGAAGATATAAAGACATTTGTTATGTTTTTACAATCATGATTTGGACTGGTTCACTGACTGCATTTGATGTTGAAACATTTTTTAAAGACAGCTTTTCGTACTAATTTCATGTTACGTCAGAATGATGATGTGTCCAGATATAAAAATCAATTGGTTGAAAATTTCAGTGCCACAGATTCAACACTTAAAACAAAGCCACCTGGAAAATCTCAAGTGCTCAAACTCCAGAAAATGCCCAGGCTCCAGTAACCGTCGCCAACATTGTATGGCGAATAAAAGCCACAATGTTGAGGATGATGTCATTTTTAAAACCAAATGAACAAAAACAGCAGCTCTTTGTTTTAACAACAGTAAAATATTTTTTAATAGCAGTTACCTTGGTCTTTTTGTCAACCTTTAAAATCTTGGAGGTGTTTTGGTCGTAATCTGTGCATACATAATGGATGCGATCTGATTTCGAACAAGGACATCGTTTCATTTATTTTCAAATGTGGGTAGCGTAAATGTGGTTTATTAGTACTCTCAAGGACTTACAGATGATCCTACCTTTGATTTAACTTTAACAGCTCAGTGGGGTGAGGGAGGGATTGGCTGGCCTCAATGCATCGAAAGCTACTGTAGTGAAGTTCCGTTATCGCCGAGCAGACTCTGAATTTTCAATTATCGCGTTAAACGGGTGCTCTGTCAGTGAGGCCTCGTACCTTAAGTGCCTATTCGGAGACCTTAGCCCAAACCCCAAGCTGAACTTCTACATGTGGTCCATCATTAAAGATGCAGCTAAAATGGTCTGTTCCCTGTACTGTTTCAGTAAGTGCAAAAACTCTTTATTCTATCCTGTATAACAGCCAAATCAGGTCGAAAACGGAGTATCGCTGTCATATATAGTCAGGGGCTGTCCAGACTTCACTTTTCACTCACGTTACTGTCTAAAAGCATCTCCGTGTCCGTGTGGGTGGTGAATTATTTTCAACCCCTTTCCCACACGTCGCAAGCCTGTCTATGCTCTATCACTGTTTCTATGGAAAGTGTTCTGACGAACTAAATTCCCCAGTTTCACTGGTTCTAATCTTCACAGCTATGACCCGCCATATCAGGTACATTGTAGCGAATCATTTCGTTCGTATTCCATTGGTGAAATATAAGTTCCACCCTAGTAGTTCCTCCCCACTAATCGCTGCTTTGTAGAATCGACTCCCAAGAATATGCTTCCGCGATCACTCTTGGCCACTTCAAATCTATGGTCAACCGTTATCTTCTCCACATAGCATAAATTATCTCACTCACTCTGTAACCCTTGGGCCTTATACAGAGTGAACATCATTGTAAAAAATTATCTAATTACATATTCTCTTGGCAATGTTGAAGGCCTCTTTCGGTACTTGTTACAGTAATATCTATGGCGTTTTAGTCCACCAAGTGAGGCGCATTCTTTTTTACACTCACTGAAATTAGAAATTCTATATGACCTGTAAGGAATGACTTCAGATCCTGAATTTTCACATATCATGGTGGATGTGTTTTCTCACAAGGAGACTCCTTGCCTTGAACGTCTAGTGAGCTTCGAGCTTTCTTCAGAGCTTAAGTGGAACGTATATATGCGATCTATTGCTATAGATGCTGGAAACATGGTTGGTTCCTTGCAGCTCTCTGGTAAGTATCCGACTCCCCCTACTATACTCTGTCTTTACAAGAAGCAGATCAGACCAAAAATGGATTTTAGTTTTTAAAAACTTCCTTGTTGCTCACATGTTCCGCCCATAGTATTCTCATTGCTTCAACTCTTCTCTCTGTGTTTGAGAACATTGTCCAGCATTCACTCTTATATAAGAGGATTGATATTACATGACATTTCAGCGCACAATTCTTTGTTTCTCGAGAACTTTTCCTGTTTCTTAATACTTTGCTTAGCTTTTGGAAAGCATCTTTTGCTATTCCAGTGCTCCCATCTTGGGTTGTCGCTCTTTGATTTTGCTATGTTCAATTTTTGTAATTCTTTGATTTTGGTATCTCCAATTTCCAATTTGCATTTTGGGCTGTTTTTTTTACTAACAACCATGCATTCTATCTTCTTGCAATTAGTCCTTTCTTCTCGCTTTCCATCACTAGCTTCTGTAAGACTTCTTGTAGTTTCTTCCCTGTGTCTGTTATCAACAATGTGTCATCTGAATATCTTATATTATTAAGATTGCGACCGCCAATAATGAATCCTGGTAGGACTTCTAATTTTCTCAAATTCGCTTCGCTATATAGGTTGAATAAGTCCGGCGAGAAGATACATCCTTGTCTTACGTCTCTTTCTATTTTTGTATATCTGTTGAAATCATTTTCTATCCGTATGCAGACAGTTTGCTACAAAGTATAGGTTCTTGATGATTTTAATATCCTTCTCAAATATGTCAAGGTTGCTAATCCGTTCGAATAGATCGTTGTGGCGTACTTTATTGAAGGCTTTTTGTATAATTTATAAAACACGGGTACACTAGTACCTAATTTTAACTTTCTGCAACCATTGCATTATTATATATGCTTTTGTGGCAGGACAAATCGTGGTTTCTTTTGTTGTTAAGTTTCTGAACAACAATAATGAATCCTGGTAGGATTTTTAATTCTCTCAAAATCGCTTCACAGTATAGGTTGAATAAGTCCGGCGAGAAGATACATCCTTGTCTTACATCTCTTTCTATTTTTGTATATCTGTTGAAATCATTTTCTATCCGTATTCGGGCAGTTTGATACAAAGTATAGGTTCTTGATGATTTTAATATCCTTCCCAAAGTAGGCCATCCGTGCGACCAGATTTACATCGACTTTGACGCGCTGACTGAAGAAATCTTGCAATGAAGAGCGTCCTATTCATATCTTATGTTGTTAAGATTTCGGTCACCAATAATGAATCCTGGTAGGACTTCTAATTCTCTCCGAATCCCCTCACTGTATAGGTTGATTAAGTCCCGTGTGCAACCAATTCAGTAGGAGTTCTTGTAGTTTCCTTTCTGTGTCTGCAATCAACACTGTGTCATCTGCATATTCTATGTTGTTAAGATTGTGACCGCCAATAATGAATCCTGGTAAGACTTCTAATTCTCTCCGAATCACTTCATTATATAGGATGAATAAATCCGGTGAGAAGTGACATCCTTGTCTTACACCCCTTTTAATCTTTGCGTCTTTTCTGAACTCATTTTCTGGTTTGTCACCATTATACGTTCTGGATCATTTTAATATCATTCCCAAATATGTCTAGATTATGAAGGAATTCCAACAATTCATTGTGACATTCGAACCCAGATAAAACCAGATATTTGAATACTGATTTTTCTAGTTAAAACTGGTCAGCCTATCTCGAAAAAAAAAAAAAAAATGCAACGTAACGGAATCATTTTTAGCAAATGTTCTTGTCCTTGTGCCATACTCAGCTATACATAGTAAATATGTAATAATGTGAGTTTGGTAAAAGTGCTTAAATTAGATGTGTCGCCTTTTATCAGTGTCCAGCCAGTCCCTCGAATGTCACGCCACATACTTTGTACGCAATCTGACTATTTTAGGAGCTTCTTATTATAATATTCAGGCATTAAAAAAAAAAGGATTCACTATCTTCTCCCCCCTGTACACTTATCCCCGCCCACCTGCATGCAAAAAAGCTCGTGAGTTAGGAGGATAAAAAGAGTTCTTAATTCATGGAAGATGACTCAGTTTTTGTGGTCCACCAGCACAAAGACACTTTTTGATTTCAATACACAACCCACAAGTAATTACACTTGGAAATATTTCTGAGACATCGCGTAGCAGATTTGATTGATAAGAGCGAAGAAAAAAAAGATAAAAATGTTTTTTTTACAAATATTCATTGATCGAATATGTCAATGTATCTGTGACTAAAAATATTTTAGACGTTTAATTCCAATTTGTTTAATTTGTTCTATATATCTTTTTCTTTCGTTTTCTCTTTCTTCTTTTCTTCTTCTTTCTTCTTTTTTTCTTCTCTTTCTTCTTTTCTTCTTCTCTTTCTTCTTGCTCTTCTTTTTTCGTTATTCTTCTTCCCTTTTTTTTCTTTTATCTTCTTCATTTTCTTCTTTTTCTCCTTCTGCTTCTTGTTCTTGTTCTTTCTTCTGTCTTTCTTCTGCTTCTTCTTCTCTTTTTCTTCTTATTCTTTCTTTCTTTCTTTCTTTCTTTCTTTCTTCTTCTTCTTCTTCTTCTTCTTCTTCTTCTTCTCCCCTCCTTCTCCTCCTCCTCCTCCTTCTTCTTCTTCTTCTTCTTCTTCTTCTTCTTCTTCTTCTTCTTCTTCTTCTTCTTCGTTGTTGTTCTTCTAAGATTCTTATTTTAAATTTCTTCTCTTTAAGGACATTTTTAATCATTTCACCCCAATCAAGGTGATAATGTCACTAAGACAAAATAGTTGACTGAGAGTGAAAAAAAAAAAAAAAATGAGAAGACATTAGTGAAGAGAAAGGATAGCAAAAGAACAGGATTCAAGAAGGCAGAAGATGGCGATTGATGTTCCATTTAAATTTGAGAATATTATATGTGACACGGGAGAAAAAAGCCGGAAGAGATTTCCACAGGCGAAAAATGCGATAAAAGAAACTATTAGAATAGAAATTACCGTTACGTCTAAGTTATTTCAACAGTAAAATGATGAGACCTAACTGACAATCTAGTCCTACGTATTCATGAGGTCGAGGTACCAAAAGGGAAGCTTATTATACCAAGTGCCATGGAGATATTTATAGAAAAGACACAGGGAAGTTGCATAACACAGATTCAATATAATCATATCAGTAGAAAATATGACTCTCCACAGCGTTCTTTAATATATAAATATTATGTCTTGTTATAATTATTCTTTGGGAAGATAGTAGAGTTGTTCTTCATTACAATCACCGCAGTTTTAAATTCAGGTGTCAAAGGATAGCACTGTTTTCTATACTATTTTATCTCTGTGGTGGAGAAAGAAAACATGATTTCATGCCTTTCCAAATGGAAAGTGGACACAAACTCAATCTCAGAATTTGAACTCGGCTTACAGATTTCATTTTTTTCATTTTCAGCTCTATTTTAAATTTTTTGCATTTATCAAAAACAAAACCTGCTTGATAAGGTTGATAATTCGTAAAATACAAATCAATCAGTCCATGTAAAAAATGATGACACAGAAATACACACGTCAATGTAACTTGGATATATTTCAGATACTCAGTCTCAGTCAATTTTTTACCATTTTTTTTGTTTACCGTATACAAGGCCCAAGAGCTACTCAAGAGAGAGGATTACTAAAGCCGATTGACATATGATTGGTAAGAGGAATAGTTAAGAGGCTCATTTTATGAGAATATGTGGAAAGGATAATGGTTTAACTGAGTTTGAACAGTATTTACACCATTTACATCGCTCGAACTATTGTCCTCATCTTTATTGCTATATTAACGACGTTTCGGTCGTTGTACGCGCCGGCCTTCTTCAGGTGATATACCTTGGAATTTTGAACTGAACCCTTTGTTTAGTCAACGGGGATAGTTTGTCCTATTTTTTTTAGATATCTCAGTTTCAATTAATTCCCTTTAGTAACTCATCTCCCCAAGTTTTTGTCCCCTCGGCTATTGCCAGGTATTGAACTCACAACACTTTGGGTTAAGTCACTTTTGTGGATGACTCAATCAACGCTTTTATCCACCAGGTTGAAATGTCGTGAATATGGAAATAAAGATGAGGACAACAATCCGAAAGATATAAATAGTAGAAACAGTTACAATACCTCATCTCAGAAATATAGACAGATCCTGACGAAGACCGGAGTGTACAACGGCTGAAACATCGTGGATATGGAAATAAAGATGAGGACAACAATCCGAACGATATAAATAGTAGAAACAGTTACAATACCTCATCTCAGTCGATCTAGTTTCTGAAATCTATCGGACATAAAAGGACAGCCATTTGAAGACGTGGACAGTTTGTTGGCAAGTCAGATTTTATGCATGATTCCAAACTTTGGTAAACCTCCGAGATTCAGCGGTATTAAAACTTTAATCTAATACCAAAGGGCAATGGGGCCAGACTATCTTAGGAGAGAGATATGAAGATTCAGTTATTAAAATAAAATACTGTATATATTTGTGTATAAGCCTTTTTCTGTTCGCATCAAGTCAGAAATTTCTTTTCTTCTTTGGAATTAAAAGAACCCACTGATTCCAGCCTATAAATGCGACAGATGGAGAAAAATAACGTTTCGTGGAACGAAATATACTGTGAAAAACTCACGCATGTTGTTACGTCTGTCTATTTTAGTATTAATAATACGAGTAAAATTGGTCCTGAGTAATACACCTGTCAATTACGAAAACTTCGTTTACAAAGTTAAATACAAATCATCAAATGGCATGGCTGATACCATCTTTATTATCAAAGCCACCGACAGCGTTAATGCCAGGTGTAAGAATTAGGGATATAGAGATAAAAGGGTTTAATTGTTCAGGTAATTGTTTTTCTTAGCTTAAACTTTCAGAACTTCATCTCATTGGTTTGCCGCATACATTTGTGCTTGTGACAGGAGATCTATGCAGCAAAATAGATTTACCGTATTTTTTGCGTATAAGACGCATTTTTTTTTTTATCTATAAAATATCTCCCAAAACCAACGCGCGCCATATAAATCGAAGGTCGGCTAGCGGTGTTAACTTATCTTCTATTACATTCTAAATAGTTACCATGAATTTAGTACATCTTGGTCTGTGATGAATTTGTCATAAGTCAAGTTTTCATGCTGAAATATGTTACCGAGTGGGTAACTTGGCGGATAGTAGGGAGGGCTATGAATTACAAAGAAAAAATTTTTTTCGCCTTATTCCATTAAATTTTTTTAGGGTAAGTGGGGGCGTCTAATGTATCGGTCGTCTTCTAAACAGGGAAATACGGTAAGTAATTCACTGATGATTTTGACAAAATCTACGAGTACATGGGTTCAGGGCAAACGTAACATGAAATACCAGAGCAGCTGGGTCTGAGCAATTTGATTTTCCCTGTGAAATGGAGACTTGACTTACTGCATTATCTGCACGACTCGAGAAGCACGGGACTTTCAATTTTAAAATTAAGCGTATTCAACATTCATTCAAAGTTGTTATTTTTATGTAACCCGGTCCAGGCAGACCAGCTTCGGATGGAAGTCAAAGAACAGCTGGCTAGACAGAAAACGAGCACTGTCCTGAGGATAAAATTGTTCAAATCTTTCTGTTAGTATCTCAGGAAGTAGCTGAAAGAAAGTTCCGAGTATTCAAATTTTCCTTAATGTAAAAACTTAACCCTTTGACCCCTGCGCTCCTGAACAATTTTAACCCTTCTGTCTGAGCTCCTGAGTCAAAATTCACAAATAATTGGTATTTAATGTTTTACGGTACATATAAAAATAGTTAAAAAATATAACTTCCTGATTGCTTCCCTGACAGCCCAGGGTGAGACTCTGCACGCTTCATGGTAAAAACGATTTTTTTTTAAAAATCCAAAATACATGCACAAAACAATGAAAAGGCGCGGACATTTGGTAGTATGACGTTCGATGACATCAGAATATTACAGTTTTTCTGATTGGCTCTTCAAAATAAGACAACCAATAGCAAATCACGAAGGAAGTGTTTACCCACTGTTCAAATGTATGTATTTCTGGATTTGTAAGTTTATGTCAGTGTCCCCTAAAAAAGCAAGTTTCTTAAGTAGAAAGATTAAGATGAATGTAGAACAAATTCTTAAATTTCGAAGATTATTATCGTCTTGTCCTGTGAATCAGAACCGACACCATGTAGCAATTATTCCCCGACTAAAAAAAGAAACAGAACAAAAAAAAAACGTGATGGAAATTTACAAACTCAGGTTATGTTAGGATTATGATAATCACACCATAATTTACAGGGGAGATTATAGCCTAATTCATTCTATATCCCTAACCGTTACTCCTGACATAAACGCTGTCGGTGGCTTTCAAAGATAATATCAGCTGTACCATTTGACGTTTTGGGATTTCACTTTGCAAACAAAGATTTGGTAATTGACTAGATGTATACTCGAGGTGAATTTTATTTGTTTTATTAATACTAAAATAGACAGATGAACAAACGGGAGTTTTTTTCACGATATATTTCTACTCATCTTGTGGGGGGAGTATTTTCGGGTTATCTTTTCCTAATTTTTGGAATCGCTACTAAGGGACGCTATCAGGCACTATGAATACTCTGCGATAAAATTTTATCACTATCTTCTTACTTTTCCACTCACACGTCAACATATACGTCTCTCGCGGAAGAATGCGTTCCCTTTTTGGGAACGCTTGAACAATACACACATACGCACACGTACGTACGCACTTTTCGCTTAATTGTTTCTAGGACTTTCTCCTAAACAAACTACACATACGCAAACAATTCACTAGCTTAAATGTTTTCTTCATTCATATTGATTGTACAGTAACACGCAACAATATTCTGTTGTTTATGTAACACTTTATTGTTAAGACATTATCATATGTTTGTACATATATATATATATATATATATATATATATATATGTACATACATATATATATATATATATAGTGAACATAGAAGTCAACACTTAGAGGCGACAGTCTGTTTCATGCTATATGCAATCGTCAGGCCACGTGTGCTGTTACTTTCCCCGGCTATTTATATATATACGGGTCAGTGGTGGCCTGACGATTGCATATAGCATGAAACAGACTGTCGCCTGAAGTGTTGACTTTATGCTCACTTTTATATTTACACACGCTCTATCTCTGATATTGAGCACTTTATCCCATAAATATAGCACACCTTAGACTATATTTCTTCATATATATATATATATATATATATATATATATATATTGGTCCTTGTTGTTTATTTAAATTGTTTTACGTGAACTAATATTCCGAGTCTGCCATGTTGGTTGTGGGTATTTCAGGAGACACACTTGTTTATCTCTCAACGCGTACACCGGCCCGCAACATATTTCGTTTCACGAAACTTTATTTTTCTCCATCTGTTTCTGAGATGAGGTAGTGTAACTATTTACACTATTAACATTGTTTGAACTGTTGTCCTCATCTTTATTGCCATATTCACCTTCCACATCTGTTTCTATTTTTGAGATGATGTTATGCAACTATTTACACTATTTACATCATTTGGACTGTTGTACTCATCTTTATTGCCATATTCACCACGTTTCGGCCGTTTTACGCTCCGATCTTTTTCAGATTATGTTATTTGTGATTTCGAACATAACCTTTTTTTTAGTCCACGGGGGCAGATTGTTCTAAT